CACGCTAGCGGTTTCACTTAGTATCAGACTGGTGAAGTGTTTTTTTTTTTATATTAATTAATATATTTATATTCAATTATAATTTATATTTATAATTCAATTATTCAGCGGCCAATTGCAAAATATTCTTCAGATAAACCTATTCGCATCTTCACTGCATGGGACTTTATTAAACTTTTACATGTAACAAACCTTATTAACCGACTTCGAAAAAGAAGGACGTTCTCATTGCGACTGTATTTTTTGTGTGCATGTTACACGATTTTGATGATTCTTTTGTTGTTGGAAAGAGGGTACCTCAATATTGGTCCCATTTAAATCTGAACCACCCACCATCGTCCACCTTTAGAGGCTAGGCGATGATTCCGGTTTCGCACACTTTCCGGTAACCGATTCCAATAAAACTTGGCAAGTAGATGTAATTCCACGACCTTTTGTGTGTTTTTTTGTAAAATATTTATAATTATTTCTAATCGCCGTTTTCTTTTTTAACGCGCCCGATGGCGCTATAATATTCTTTTTTTTTTTTTAACAAAATTACGAGTAATTTTGCGTAATTTAATTTCTTTTTTTTTTCTAGATTGTAACTTATGAAATCACTCGCTGTTGCAAAACTGTAATTAAAGTTTGTATGTTCTTTTTCACTATCTCAGTTTTTTGTTGGCTATTTGGAGTATATTTCAAATAATAATTTTCTAAAAAATACATAAAAGAAAAATACTTCTTTTTGCGACATAAAAGTTAGGTTTACATTTCATAATATTAAGAATTTACAAATCCATTATTTTATTTTGAAGCCTGTAAATTCGTAGAAGCAATTCATTAACGTCTTAATCTTAATATAATTACGGTCAACGAACTGTACTAAAATTAACTACTAAGTATAATTTGAACTGTAATAACGTACCAAATAAAATCGCAGGTCATTCGGTGGCAGGAGTCAAGCACAATGGGGCGAAACAGCTAATGGGGCCAAAGGGGTCAGTTTGCGTGATTCTCGCCATAAACGTAACGTTTTGAACGGCTTTACTGCCCACCAGTACCACTGGGTCACGATGTTAACTACGTGACATTAATTAGCTAGAGGAGTTATTTTTAATCGATATTGTAGAATCGATTTTATTTCTTTGACCTACCTATTCTTATTCTTGTCGACATAACTCAACAAGTTTTTAATTTCAACGATAAATAATTATTTGTAACCTTTTTTTTTTTAATGTAACACTTACCCTCAAGCAATTGTTATATGTATATTCTAAATTTGAAAAAGAACTACAACTTTCGTTTCTTTCTCATTATCGATTGTAATAAAAGAAGTATTCGAATAACTCGGTTTCTCTATTTGCTATCGCTCAACTCTACATGCCCTAATATGCCTTTGCCTCCATAGATCAGATATTACTCCCGATTTTAAGATGTTACCTTATTCCGTTTCTATCTTAGCGATTATCTTTATTGATCGAGTATTTTGTACCAAGATATCGGAGCTAACAATAAGAATTTGAAAATTAACAAATATTTCACTATAATAGTTGTTTGCGCTCTAAATACACTACGCTATTTCGTTAGGCTTTTTTTGTACGTTATATCTGTCGTAGACATGTTCTAACTTGTCACCATAGTTTTCAATAGAAAGATGGAAAATCAATTTTATCAACCTTACTGTCTAATGAAGGCCCATAAAATTTTACATTGCATTTTTTTATAATCGGATTTCCTAAATAACATGGGAAACGTTATAATTCATAAGCCAAATAACAGTTAGGACATATTATACTAAGCCGGGATTTTGTAATCTACCCAATATGGGATTAGACCGCAAATCCTATTGCAACTTTGCCTTTCTACGATTTCGGCAGTTAACGATTCTTACACTGAAGGTTTCTTGGAGTCGTTAAAAGCGGATGTGTTTTTACTAAAGCCATGCCGATGCTTTTTCATATTACTAAGGCTAATTTTGTCTAAAATAATAAACCAGCAAATTAGCAATAAAATTTTATGAGTGAATAGGTGGGATAGCTTCAGGCCGCGAGTCCTGACCCGGTATCTTTTCAAATCGATCAGGCGGGGGCAAAGCGCGCGTTGTTATGAGATTCTGTATTAGAATTTATAATAAGCGCGAGGCGAATGGGCTATCAGCGTTGCCGACACGTCCGCTCCTCACACACTTAGCGTTATGGTAATGGGGAGCCGTGACCAAAAGGGAACAACGCTTTATTATGTGCCGAGTCTGGGGTCAGCAAGCGACATCGTGCGCCTGCCATTTTTGCCATATCTCCCGCTGTTTCGCGCATGCTGCCCCGCGGCCGCTACTCCCCACCAGTGTATCTCCCAACGCCAGAAACATAAATAACAATGACAGATGATATTCCACCATGATACCCTCAAACATTTCCGAAGTACCTACTCGTTACTTTTTATGGGTAACGCGATAAGTATTTCAGCGTGGTTTACTATTTACACCTTCCTTCAATTTTGTGCAACAACTCATATTACCAGCTATAAATCTCCAGTTGTACAATGCGCTGTACTATTCTAAAAGCTTACATTAATGTCTTGAATAACGAAGTGTCTTCGATGATTTAAGAGGGAGCCTCGGTTCGCGGGGTCCCCGGGATAATAATCCCTTAATTACGTTCTCTTGCTTTTCCAAATGATCGAATGGCAGTAATTGCTTTTCTGTCGGGCCAAAACGGATTTAATTGGCGCCCCCTTAGATGGGAATGTGGGCTCATATTTTGTCATAAGCACTATTATTATGCCAAAGTCATTTCAGTGGTATCATAACCGAGTTATTGGATTAGATACGTATTTTACTATCATTTGAATACTTGAACGAGTGAAATAAGCGAGCATTCAATCGTCAATGTCACATTATCCCATTGGAATCAAAGTTTATGTGCAATTACAATTTGAAACCCGTGTATCAATTCGTTGTCGATGTTAAAAGTGGTTGTAGACTAGTGTATAGCGCAGTTCATAGCGCGGCTGTAAACACGCGACAAGATTTAGAGTGCAGGCGGGCAACCGCGTCAGACAAATATTTCACCTTGGTTTGCGGCGCCAGCCGGAAACGTGTAGTTGATGCATGGACTTAGAAATCAAAGGATATGGCGCGCGTAGGTGTGGACGCTCACTGAACATCTCTGAATTTGCACTAACGAATTGTTATAGTGGACATTCACCGCCCGCACTAATGTGGAATAATATGAGTATCAGGAAAATTTGAACAAGGAACTGTCCCTTCTATGAGATATCTCTAATCTATGAGTATATTTTGTAGCTCCTTGTTAGTAAACACGCCAGGCGGTCAGTAAATCAGACGTAAGGCGCCTTCAACTATTCACACTCGTCTTTCATTGTAAGACTCATGTCGAGTACTCTGGTCTGGAGTCTTGAGCGCCTCGACTGACACGTAATAAGTTACTACTGAATAATGACTTTAGGAATCAGTACCTACATCAGACACTATTCAATTGAATTGATGGGGTATGGGAGACGGTGTATAAATTTTATTAGATTTATTCGAGAGGCGTTCATCCGAAAAGTTTCTAAGTTGCTTGCTCTGCTCCATGTTTACGTGCCAGTGAACTTGTAAGTTGTCTGTTACTTACACAACTGCACTGAAGTAGATAAGACACCAACAAGACGCTGCGAGTGAATTTGCTCTGCTGTACGAGGAGGTTTCAGTTTTGAATAGGGCTTTAACGTTACACATATCTAAATCACAATTTAGACGCATAAAAGGAATTTCAAGCTAACCTGATAGAGTTCGTAAACTAGTTATTACCAGCAAAGCTATAAAGCAATGCTTCCTGTTCAGTTCAGAAGCGGTGAAATGATTTCGTAACACAATTTTCTGTTTCACAACTCAAGTGAGGTTTGCGGTCGGCACATCTGATCCCGAGAATACTCGAGATCAGCGTAAGGAGTTCATAAGTTTATATTTCCGGGTTCCACAAATAAGAGCAACTGACTTCTCGCATTGAGATGTTATTGATATTACTAAGAAAACGATTTGATTTTAAATGCGTCATTCGTCATTCTGCGACATTCTGAGTTTTCTTTTGTCCATACTCTCGGGGAGTTTCATTTTCGATGTGGAACCGAAGCATTCAATTACAACGTTCGTGGTCGAGTCCGAAAAGTAAGTTTCTCAAATCTACACAAAACGAATTTCAAATTCCAGTAAATGAATTATGGATTACTGGGCTTCTTTAAGAATCTAAACTAAATAGATTAGATTGCACAACGGCTACTTTTTCTCATGACTAAAATATTCCGCCGACAAGTTTAAGTATATTCATTATCGTCAACCTTTAATATCATCACTACAGACAATATTCACACCGCTATAATAAATATAAAACGGTTTATTTAATGACGAAAAATTCTTGCTACGCTCTCTTCAATTAAAAGGTCGTCTTTGTAAGCTTATTTTCCATTGTTGGAAGATCTTCACGTTGCATTAAGACTTAGAATATAACTTTATACCAAGTATAATGAGAGGCTAGCGTTCAGCTCGGCTGTAGAAGATTATCTAAGCTATAAAACAAATCATTAGAGATGTGAACAACAGGCAGCATGTGAGAAGAGCATAAACTTCAACGCACTTGAATACTGCAATTTGTACATAATGATCTTTTTTGTGGAACTCGACAATTGGAACAATATTTATTTTTATGTTCCCGAGCTTACGATCGTGAATCAAGGGTTTTAAAAGATTTAGATACTCGGTACAATTACAATGATATATATCTGAGAACATAAAATGAGTTATATTCTGAGTATCACTCCACAACAAATAGTTCAATACTAAATAATCCCACTCTTTTATTATATGAATAATGGGCTCCTTAATGGTCCTCCGCAGATTTAGGACGAAATTGCATATGCATATATGCATATTGCATACATGATTTAAGACAACTTTTACTTAACGTTTACTTATTACACTAAAGACAATAAATTAATTACTTACATAATTTTCTTGTTCCCAGGATGACCTTCGGCGTGTTTCTGGTCTTAGCATGCGCCGTTTGGGGCGCACTGGGTGGCGAACCCGTCTTCGACCCGAGCACACTGATGCGGCTGGTGCTAGTCCCAGCAGACGCCGCCGTGGGCTCTGTCATCTACCGCGTGCGCGCTTCTGACCCAGACTTTGATTATCCTCTTCACTTTGAACTCATTGGTAAGACATATGAAAACATATTTTTTTCGCAAAATCAAAATGTGTACAACTTGTGTAACAAACACTCATTCGAATTCTAAAGCATAAACATACAAAAATAGAACAAAAGTTATGATGGTCTGAGTTCATTTGTTTACAGATTACAATATTTGTATCTCTAAACGAAGTTCGACTTAGTAATTTAGTTTTATTATAATTCATGAGTTAGCAGGTGTGGGATCCATCGCGTTGTATGAAAATCACATTTATAACGTCATTAACAAAATATCCCCTTAACCAGGTCAAATGGGTCGCCTAGACATCGGCATAGAATCGCTTCCTTGCACGCGATACAACTCAGTATGCCAAGCCAACGTTCTTCTCCTTCGAAGACTGGAGCCAGGCCGCTACGTGGACTTCAGGCTATCAGTCAGGAACACCAGGGGACGAAGCTCGAGGATCGCCTGCTCTATAACAGCTACCAACGCCACTACACCAAGAGACACGATCTTCCCACACCAACCTGCGATCGTTTTGGTGCAAGAGGTATGAAGTTCAAAGTAGCAAAGTGCAAACTAAAGGAAATTTAATGTAATATTCCACAACTCTCTCATCCTCTTACTCCGTAGTTCGTGTACAGTCGCCTGCATTTCATAAACAAATATTTCCGAAAAGGGTTAATTAAATTGTTATAATATATTTTTCATTAAACATTTACATATACGTACATACGTATACATACATTTACGTATTGTTTAATATTGCCTGTTCTGTTAAAATGGATTGATTTTGGCTACTCATACCCATTACAATGGAGGTGACTATATGACATTAATAAATACGACGCCCGACTTGTTCGTCCCGTCTCTTGATATTATTAAAAAAAATACATCTTAAGCGTCAGGCCCTAAGTAATTAAATAATATCTAAATACCATTATTCTTTTATGTTTCTGTTCCAAATGAATGTAAAAGCAGATGCCCTTGACGTGTATCCTCAGCGACCGACCTTTCCATTTCCTATAAAAAGGGCATAACCTTAAACATTCAGAATGCATAAAAAGCACCTGGTTCAATATTATATAGCTTGTGGCAACAAATGAGGCGTCAGACGCCTGCCGCGTGATGTGTCGTGATTGATGATGATGAGGTTCTTCTAACCCCTTTCCTCACCTCCGCGAATATGAAATATCAAAATTAACTCTCGCACATTTCCGCAAAATGGATCAGTAAATTTTTGTAAACGTAAAACTTAGAGATACGATCGTGACGGAAATTTTATTGATCCTCTGAAACGAAAGGAAATTGTATATTGTATTCTGAATAAAACGCTATTTCAAAAGTGTGGAAAGGTTAGATGTATATCAGAAACGTTGAAGTATTGTAGTAAATCTTCAAAAATAAATCTGAACGGATCAGCAACATCGACAACGTGCACGTCAGTATATATACTTTATAGGTATTAAAAATAAGCGGAAAGTAAAAATTACTTCTCACTAATATTTTATTACAGGATGCGAAGCGAGGAACGGATCTTGAAATTGTAATAGCAAGAAAGAATCCCCTATCACCAAAGCCTCTGGAATTAGAACTCTGGGTAAGACATTTGTATTTAAAGTTATTCATTAGGGACTAATGAGCTGTTCAGTTAGTAGCTTCGTGTTCGACACGCATTTTGCTGTAACCACAATATGAAGTTTCACCCGGTCTCTAATAGGGTTAATTTTCGCCGCGATATCACCTTGACGCGTCCTAACGCTTGCAAAACACATTTTAAGGTTAATGTGGTGAGTCCGCCTTCACACACGGGAGAAACACAACACGCCAGCTGCATCCTTTTTTTGGTAGCGAAAGTTGAGTGTCCTCGTTTTATTTCGCAACCTTGCGAAATCTGCTTTGAGTGGCTCGGGAACTGTACAAAAACATTTGTTAAAATTACGCCCATTTTCAATCCATCTTATTGCTTTACTTCGCTTTAATAGATATTCTGCTCGATTTTGTTTCAAAACTGAACCATTGTAGCCCATTGAGATGGGTTGGGCTGGGTAAAAGTTCGCGACTCCCGTCCGATGATGTTGCGCAATTACTGAGCATTAAGAAGACCCGAGGCGTGTTAAATTTCTCACAATCCATGGAGAATGGCTAGGCACCCGTAACCCGAGGTCGTTTTATCGGCCACTTAAATGGTACAATAATGGAGCCCGTGTCCTTACATGTACTGTAATTTAGCGTATGGTCTATTACGTGGGATAGCGTGTACATCTCTCTCATCCACTTCTTTTTACTTTCAAGTTTATTAAGTATAGCAATTACCTTTTAAATTTTATTTCACAGGGTTCGCCGCTCTTTGCTATTCGCCAACGTCGTGTGTCCACGGAAAATACTGAAGGCACGATCTTCCTCGTGGGACCGTTAGATTTCGAAGCTCAGTCTATGTATCACTTGACACTATTAGCTGTGGTAAGAAATAATTCAAGATTAATGGTCGTCTAAAGTGCCCGTTTCATGTTCAATATTTATTGCTGTTGTCATAACTCACGATTTACTATTCTACTTACATATTAAACGATATTTTACTCTATTTTCAAGCATTTATTTTCAAAATAATTTGCTACGAGATATAGGGAATACTCTTTGTAGCAAACCTTTCTATTACACAGGATCCATACGTAGAAGTAGGCAAGGACACCCGGAACATCGCAGGAATCGAAGTGGTGGTCGTAGTCCAAGATGTTCAAGACATGCCTCCTGTATTCACATCAGCGCCCCCCGTCACGCATCTGCCCCGTCAAGTGGCACCTAGAGATGTAGTAGTGAAGGTGCGAGCTGAGGATGGAGATAAGGGAGCACCACGGCAGATCAGATATGGATTAGTATCTGAAGGAAATCCTTTCACGCCGTTCTTCAACATCAACGAAACTACTGGTAAGTTCCTTAGCAATAAATATGTAACCTTTAAATTGATACAGGACATAAATAAAATAGTACGCAATGGGGAAAGTATAACACTTATCACTTTGTGCTCAGATAACAAGAATTATGAATATACAGAAGACTAAGCGATGAAAAAAGTGCCAAGACATAATAATGTATGGGAAACCATACCGATAAACGATTTAAAGGAATCATATTTCTAGGATCGGCGGACTAAAGCATATAAGTCAAAAAACTGCTTCATTTCTTAATATATTATATATTTTTTATGTTGTCTATAGTGTTGGAAGATGTGAAGAGAATGATAAATTTAAAAAAGACGCCTCTAAAATAAAGTTACAAATTTATGAAGTAACAAATGACTTATTTGCTTTAGCCGGTAAATGTATTCATTTAAATGGGTGATGTTGGATTTTGACTTATATGCTTTAGTCCGCCGACCCTAGATTTTACTACCGCATAAAAGAATACAATCTGCAAACCGCAATGAGCTAGTGTCGTCACACGCTGTTCTAAACCCTCTTCTTTAGCGGTGATTCACACTTGTACTTATAAGGTTTGTACAGTCCAATAAAAATGTAACTTTATTAACTAGGTATACGCAATAACCACCAAAGCGTCTATCTTTATGAGCTCTAACACTTTTATCTATACTATTAAAAATTTACAACATGTTGGCCATCAACGTCTTAGGTTGGCATGTGAAGAAGTTCTTAGAAAACTCTCAATTCCTTATAATATATATCGTGAAGATCTCATGGTGGTGAAATTAACTTTTAATGCAAATAAACTTGAACACTCTAAAAAGTGTTCATAATTCCATGAGGCTATTCGATTTCGATATTAAACCGTATTAACATAGACGATCCATTAACTTGAATGAGTGAGATCTATACACTGAATTTTTTTTATTTCTTCTCTTCTCAAAAACGTCGCTAATCATCTAGAAATTTTTGTAATAACTTTGCATCAATTATAAGAAATCTTCGTAAGACTAAAAACACGATTTTTATTAGGTTAGTGTAATTAAGTGAAAATTGGACGATCAGCGACTTTTGGAATTACTCCACTCAAGCCTAATAACCTTGTTCTAGTAAAAACGCGAGCCTAAGTATAAAATAAGCGTAGATTTTATGGTAGCATAATTATACAACTTCCATTATTAATTTTACCAAAAAAGTTAAATTTATTCGTTATATTTTTGATCCACTTTTAACTCTTTATGGCATGACAATAACTCATTATTATACAATACTATTGGATTTGTGTTAGAATTGCATAGTCTGTGAAATGCAGAAGAACATTGCTCTGTATGTCAATTTTGGTAAAGTATGAGGACAGTCTAACTATGTGTAAACACTTTGTGTAAACCTATTTTTGGTAAATAAGTACACTGTTGGTAAGCAGTCCGTAGCAGTTGCAGTACCACCCAGAGGTTTAAATCGCAAAGATCTGAGGGGAATTGCTACTGCACCCGTCACCCTGAGACATATTCGCACCCCTCATGGAAGAATGACATAAGTGGACTTACGTCAAACATGTTTATTGCTCCGTTAGATACAGAAAAATATGACCCACATCCTCTCCAATTCTTTTAATTCTATCTACAATATTAGTCGATAAAGTTACAAGAATTGGAGAGGATCTAGCTTATATTGACGTAACTCCACTTATGCCATTCTTCCATAAGGGGGCGAATGTTGAGAAATCCCATGTGCCTGTAATTTCACTAGCACCCTTATTGTTCTAAACCGGGACGCAGTAATGCTCATACAACTGCTTGGCGGCAGAAATAGGTAATGTGGCAGTACTTCCCGGTACGATCTCTTTCACAAAGAGCTCTGCTACTACTAAGACTAATTTATAATTAATCAAACACCTTTAAAACTCAGTCCAATACACCAGTATGAAATTGTACCCTATAGTGAGTAAATTGCAATCGTTAACCCTGTTAAAAAGGAACAAATCAGCTTAAGTACCGACAGGTACTTACCTGATGAGACTCGAACGAGCCAGAAAATCGCCACGTCCATAGTTCAAAAGTTCAACTCAAAATACCCTTAAGCTCTCTAAGCGGCCTTAAAATTTATGCGTTAATGTTAATATGCGCCTTTTAGAGAAATATTAAAACTCAAATGAGGGCAAACATTTGTGTAGGTTTACACAGGAAATTATAATCCTGGATTTCAGTAACTCGTGGGGTTTCTACAAACATTACTCATTTATTTTAGAGACGTGACAACTTTTAATCAAAATGGACTCATACTGAAGAAATTAGTAATTAAAATTTATAAGCTGAAACGGATCCAATTCAGCATATGTCAGCTCGATTGCTGTAACACTGGTTTTCCATTGACGCCACTTTTATAAGATGTGGGTTAAGACTAAAATTATAACTTATAACTTACCTAAAAATAAGTAGGTAAATTACTATAAGAAAAATAATATGAATAAGAGTGGTTACACACGGTGACTTTTAGAAGCAATGTAAACGCGCGTTCGTGAAACATGTGAGTTCGAAACTCCTTTTAAGAGAAATATATACATGTACTAAGAGTCCCGCTCTTCCACATCACAACACAAGAATTTAGAAAATAATTTATTTTACTTAACAATGGTTTTGGCTTAATTAAATATTTCTTTCAAGTGTAACTCTACTCTTCATTACACTGTACAGTTTTCTATAGTACTACAATACGAGGTTATGCTATCTCAAATTCATCCAAAAGAACAGCTCAATAAAAACACATAGTACCCTATCTCAAATCAATTTTGTTCCACATCTCTAATTCACATTTTCCGGGAGGTCAGTGCCTCAGTAACGACTGGCCAAGGGTGGGGATTTGGTAAACAAATCACGAACGCTACATTTGCAAAGTCACCTACTTTAGCTTCTCTGTGTTTTTTACTTGATGATTTAAAATTCTTTTCGTTTTATTTTAAATGTTGTGATTCATTTTCTGATAAAAAATATTTTAGTTCTTTTCCAACCAACTTTAACGTATTGAAATCAGGATCTCTAAAAGTAACAAACTAGTGTATATAACTAGTATACTTTTGGAATATCGTTTTAATATCTAAGTAGGTAGTATATTGGTGTTTATATTATTGTTAAAGTTCATGAAGGTTCATTAGGGGTCACCCACGAGGCCGTATAATTTTCAACCTTTGTTAAGACTTCTGTGTTAATTTACATACGTATCTAAGTGACCTGTGACCCAGTCACTAAATATATGTATATGACCATATGTAGGTAATTTTATTCGTTCTATTTTTTAGTCACATTTTTTAGAATGTTCAGGTTTAGTTCAAAATTTATTTACACTTTTCACACGTTATTCTTAGTAATTTACACTTTTATTTAACCATGGGTAAGGGTATACAAACTCTTACGTTTTTAAATTAATAATTTGGAATTTCGGTAAAACCCGCATGATACAATTTTCAACAAGAAATTTAACACATTGAATATCTTGAGTTGTGGCTCACCGTACATTATTCATTTAAAAAATGCCACGTATATGTTATAAAGCATTGACGATTGTCTTTTTACAGTGAAAATTAAAGTAACTATACCCCACACTGCTGTATATTGTGCCTTAAATACAGACAAGCTTACTACTGCGAGTAGGTCAACAGGGAGTTTTTTCATGATAGCATCGGACCGTCCGCGCGTCCGGCTGCGTTCCGCCGGCTTCCGTAGGATATCCTACTTTCTTATCTTATACCTTGGCTAAATCAAGTCTGAAGTACTAACCTGACCCACATTCATGCATTATCAGATTCGCAACTAATTTTGAACCAAACTTCACATTTTGAAGAAAACTTTTGTCGTTTAGAAAGGCTATTAACTTCGCAGTCATTAAATTTTGACTTCCTGGTTTGTAAATAGTTTGGCGCCTTTTCGTTTAATGCAGATGGATGATAGTTTAGTTACCGACAGTTCCGGGTTGGAAACTGCATGTCAGTTACCTATTTTGGTGTAACGAGCTGGTGTTCGCAACTCGACGTCGAGGCACCGTGTGGTGGGTGCAAGGTCCTACTCGTGCCACTCAAGCTCCTCCAGGAATATCAGACACCTCTTCGGTTTGCTGAAGACTTCGGGGACAGACCTCAGCACTCCAATATACTTTGCCCTGTAGTTGGCCACGCCAGAGCACTATAATGTGCGCGGCCGTGTCCCCCGTCCATGCACGTTCTGCATCGAGAGCTGTCCGAGATACCTAAATTGAAAAGCTGTTTATTATATGGACCATGACCCGCTAGAGCGGCAGTTAGAGTGCGAAGCTCTTGCCTCTTAAGTTTGATTAATTTATGAGATAGACTGGCGTTGAGCGTTGGGCGTGGTTTCCTAGCCTGTCTACAAACCATAAAGATTGTCCATGTGTTATTATAAGAAGATTTTGTACCGTTGTGTATAGTTGTTCTTGACCATTGGTAGGGGAGAGACACTATGAGTTTTGGTCCTACAGTGTCCGTCTCCGACCCTTTTCGGCCTTGTTCATCAGTTACCTACCTAACTGTAGCTATATGAGCATGTAACCGAACACCAATGAACATTCATCACGTCGTCAGTGGGCTGGCGTTTAACACTGTGTTTCGATTCTTGGTAAGATCAATTTGGGTAACGAACTTTTCTAAATTGATTCTGATGAGTTTGTTCTAGGTAGTAAGGTATAGGGAATTCCCTAATTTGGCCCAGATAATTGGTGTGTTTGTCTGGATCATTAACATATTTTTGATCCTCGACGCCCTAGGTGGCCCAGCGATTAGCAATCTCGGCTTTAGATTAGGATTCTCGCTAGGTCCAATTTAGGAAAATGGAAGTTTCTTAATTGGTTCTGGTCTGCATGTTCACGTAGTTAATGGTTTGTCAGCATTTGTAACACGTTATAAGAAAATTTGCCTTCACATATGCTGTAATGCTCGGAGAGTTTCTGAGAGATAAGTATAATTTATATAAAAAAGTAGAATTTCACATTCTGGAAGTG